TGACCTGTCTGTCTCCTCTCCACCTATCTTCTCCTTTATCCATCTTCTATCTGCCTCCCCCTCTCTCCCTATTTATTTCAGAACCCCCTTCCCGTCCCCCATTTCTGATGAAGGGTCTAGGCCCGAAACGTCAGCTTTCCTGCTCCTCTGATGCTGCTTGGCCTGCTGTGTTCATCCAGCTCTACACCTTGTTATCTCAGATTCTCCAGCATCTGCAGTTCCTACTAGCTCTGAAACAATAATATACTTTGTTCTTTCTCTGAGATGAGAAGATGATTTTCTTTAAAATTTACTTGATAAATCCTTCTGGATATTAAACAAAACAAAACTGAAAGAACTACGGATGCTGGAAGTCTCAAACAAAACCCGAAATTGCTGGAAAATCTCAACAGATCTCGCAGCATCTGTGGACAGAAATCAGTGTTAACATTTTGAGTCCAATGAACCTTCTGCAGAACCTGATGATATTTTTCAGCAATGTTTTGTTTTCCCTCTGGATATTATAAATGTCTAAAAATATTCAAGTAGTAAATGAAATATTGAATTTGAAAAAAGGTATTAACAATTTTCCTTTTATGCTTTGAAACAAAAGAGACTGTGTACACACATTTTGTTATTTTCCAGAATCCTTTTAAATTTCAGGTAATTGATCCCTTTAAATATTTTGGAATGTCATAATATAGGTTCTTTAGTATGTCCAGGCTTAGTGGTTCTAAAATTTCTGTTACTTAACATTTTCACAGTATTAACAAAAGACTTGGTGGGTTGAGGATGATTTCTTTCCAAACGTGAATGGTGTTTTTAGTCCATCACTATGCTGTGACATTGAAGTCTACAGATAGATTCAGGAGTTCTTGAAGCTGCCTTGCTGTATCTGAAAAACAAAATCAAATTCCATCCATCCTGCTTTGGGAAGAATGGGTTACTTAATCCAAATTTCTCTTACAATTCAGAAACCCCAAATTTACAACATTCTTGAGAATTTACAATGCTTAATCTTTTGAAGGGGCCAGGACAAATGTCTTGGATATAATTACATCATCACCCCCTCCCTTCAGTCTCCAGATGGGAGCTGTGTTTTTGTTTAAACAAAGGAAAAACTATATTCATTGCTTTTACTTCAAGTTTCAAACTCTGAAAAATCAGCTGTCTTGGATTTCAGAACATGCCTTAAGATACTTCAAAGAAAATTATACATCTAATGTTTCAAAATTCCATTTTCCCTTATTTTCTCTAAAGAATCAATTCATACCTATAAAGATTTAACGAGTAAGTTTTATTATCTTGAATTAAAGATTCAACCATATATTAGAATAATATTTGGAATTTCACTCTGACTAGAGAATGAAATGTAGTTTACCGACTGCAGGCACTTGAGAAGTTCACATTCAAGCGGAAAATATTTATTACCCCTATAAAGTACAAGAACACTCTTGCAATTTGTTATTTTTTTCTTCCACACAAGAAAGCTTTCTAGACACTTTCTTCCAATCTCGGATTTTAACGTTATGCCTCAAATCTTCCTTGTAGGAGTGAGAAGTACGGAAATTTAATTTGTGATCAAAAACACAGGCAAAAGCATACTGTCTCGATACAGAAGCTTGCCTACTCCACTCGGCTGTGATTAATATCTGTTATCTGTAGAATTTCTCTTTTAAGTCCAAAGTCCTGATTTCCAGAGAACGATCAACTCTTGGTAAATTCCTGTTTAAGGTGTTGCCTTATTGTGGCTTTATCTTTGCTATCAGTAGTTTATGCACTCCTCAAGCCTTTAAGCATGAAGGAGAATTATGCACTTGCCGCCCTTTATCTAAATTTTACCTAACAACTTCCAGTGTTGGCCAGTGATGTGAAGCGACATAGCCTGCTCTCTGCATATTTAGGTGAACTCAAATTCTGCTTTCTCGATGTTCACCTTTTCGGATTTCAGCATTTCATTTTCACGGTTCCTACAGCTCAGATTTTCGAACATTTTGCTCCACTATTTCAAAACCACCTGTACTTTCGTTACCGGTCTGCCTGATCACTTTATCCTCAGTTTCTAAACCACCCACACTTTTGTACCCGGATGGTTCAGATTCAGCACACTGAGCGCGGCCAGCCAGGTTCGATTCCCAATTAGGGAACCTGGTCTTATTGTTCTGGACATTCAAGTTTCCTGTGGTATAGTAGGATCACCTGGGCTCCTGAGCCTGGGTCTCCTCCACTCCAACCGCTCTTCTTTTCTCATTTTCTTTTTAGTTTTACTTCTACTTACTTTCTGGGGAGAGCTCGGTCGTGGCCGCATAGAAATATAGAAGATAGGAGCAGGAGGAAGCCATTTGGCCCTTTGAGCCTGCTTTACTATTCTTCACAATCATGGCTGACCATCCAACTAGTAGCCTAATCCCGCTTTCTCTCCATAGCCTTTGACCTCATTTGCCCCAACCACTATATCTAGTCACCTCTTGAATACATTCAATGTTTTGGCATCAACTACTTCCTGTGGTAATGAATTCCACGGACAACAGCGTCAACAAGGAAGGTGGAAGGAGGTAGGAAGGTGGCTTCATTGGTATTCGGAGGGTGGCGGTGGCTGGTGAGCCCGGGGCAGGACTTGGGTGGATAGCAACATTGAAGAGGCGGCTGGGGGTGAGCGCGGGATGCGACATTGGCTGCTATATCAGCAGAGGCGATGCTGGCAAGGTAGGCCCAGCAATGAAAGATGGTGCCTGAGGAGCAATGACTTCAATGTTGGTTGAGTCTGGTGCTGGCGGTAGTGAAAGACTTACGGATTCTCTTTTTTTATTATTATTCTTAAACTATTCAAAATGTCGCCAGATCATGGCAACAGTGGAAGTTTTCACAGTATTTTATAGCATTTTTCACTGTAAAATACATGTGACAAAATCATTTCTTCATTCTTCCTACACTGCCATCTCAGTCTGTCTAGTCTAGTCTAAGTTCGATGTGATCTGCCCTGTTGGACCTCTGTTCTAGACTGACACAATCCGTTGTTAAATATTCTTGCAAGTGAAAAATACTTACCAGATCATCAATTTCGCCTTTGTGGAGGGCCTGGCAGTAATCATATTCTCCTCCCAAGGTTGTTGCAAGAATTTCCAGGGTCTGATTGTTGGTATACTATCCTCTGACTCTTATCGACAGACAGTGACAGACAAAGATCAACTGGATGTTCAAAAAAGCCTTTTTTTTCACTATAGGACTCCAGAGTATCTAAACATATCTGGAGACACCAAAGGATTGCAGATACAATTATACTCTTTGATTCAGTTACAAGAAATTAACATATACCAGTTGAAAAGTGTACAGCTATCTAAATCCAATCATTACTACTAATTAGGTTTACATCATTCATAGAATATGTGTACAATTAACCAATCACTGCATAGGTACAGCAACAAATTGCAATGTATAATTATTATGAAGGCAAGTCCATACTATCAGGTATAATTGTATTACAGACTACAATTTGTTTTTAACATAATCATTTATATCTGGCTAGAATATATCAATCAATCAATCAATCAATCTCCTTTTCTGTTGTCCCTGGTGTTTTAATGATTCTTGCAAGACAGAGATTTAGTGAATAAACAACATCTTTGTGTTGCTGTGAGCACTATCATTATAATTCCTTCACTCATCTCGCAGATAAATTTGCTTCTAGAACAGATGGTATGGTGATCCTACATATCTTCCTATGTTTTGTTTAACTAGCAGTTTTATGTCCTTATGAGTTCACAGCTAGAAGCTCGCAACTGTGCGCCATTAAATATCCATCTGCAAGGTAGTTTTATTTTAACCCTTTTACTCATATATCAGCCCAGCATAGATATTATCAGTAATTAAGTATTTTAAGGAAAATGTAACATTAGTATGTAAGATGTCATCATAGACTGAAATCTGCCACCTGCCATTAGTCTGCTAATTATTAGCATAAGCAAAGGACAAGTTACTTTGAATTTGACCAAGAAATGTCATGTATGATGTGAAGGCCATCAAACCTGTGGCAGACTATGTTGTAAACTGATCTCTAGCTAAGTTCCGGGGCAAGTACTGCACAACACGAGTAACAGAAGATAATCAGAAGTTTCCTGATACATTAATCAGCTGTCTGAAGTTTCCCAGAGTGGGTAACAACATTAATTTTCCCATAAACAACCAGCAATACTATGTTTTCTTCTTTCAGAAGACAGAATACCTCAAAATCCAAGGGATTGTTGATTGCACACATGTCAATTTGGATCTTCTGTACATAATGATATAGTCATTATAAAAACATCTTCTACTTCACTCAGTTTAATCTTTAACCATTTTCACAGGATCATTTAGGTGCCAGTGGCAGCAAGGAAGATTTTTTCTTATTTTAAAACAATCTAAAATACTTCCCCCCTCTCACTGTAATTAGATTGAAAAAGAAAATATCAAAAGTTGTCTCTGTGGAATGTACAGTCTGGCTCTTGACATCAATATGGCAGCCACACACTTGAAAAGTACAAACTAGAAAAAAAGCACATGTAACACAGAGAACCATCAATGAGCGTTCCATAAGCTTGGTGTATATATTGCAAAAGAGAGTGGTGGTATTCAAATATCTAAGCCCAGACTGATAAGCCAGTTGGTAGTCTTTAGTGGCTTGTTATACCTTGACATGTCACAACATGGTCTATTGTTGGTGATGGAATTTTATGCAAGGCCAATGTGCCCATAGTGAGGTAGCAGCTAATACCTAGAATCCAGTTCATGTACAACAGCTGCAAAGTGAGAATTGACATAAGTAGGTTGATATATATTATTTATCTAAATGTCATAGCTAGTTGGGTATGGGAATGCTCCACAGCTGTTTTTGTGGTTTCCTGACAGCTACAGTTGGACAGAAGTGAAATCATGCTGAATTTCTGCCCCATCTTGGTTAAGATACATTTTGAGGAAATGTTGTTTTTGCAGCAAAATAATCCACTGAAAATAGTTCTCTTTTAATTTCTTCTTTATTTTTCTAGAAAAGTATGCTAAGCATTGGTGTGGCCTACTATTAGCTGACAACTCTACATTCACTCAGTGCCATTCACATGTCAACCCAAATCAATACTTTGAGGTACAAAAAATTACTAATGCCATTATATCTGATAATTATTCCACATATTGTTTGTAATGTCAAGCCTGTTATTTGTTTTGTGAAATTTTCAACATGGCTGCCATCATTCAAATGAGTAAAGAGAGCAGAAATGTATGACTCATACATGAGTTTTTGGTTTGCATCGATTTTGTGTTGAGTGTTTTCATTTGAAGGCATGTTTCTTTGTTCTGTCTTTGTGTAAGATTGACACCTTAAAAGTATGAGATGACATGATGCTTTTATTTTGCAGCAATGTAAATATGACAGCTGTAACTGTGAAAAAAGTGAGGACTGCATGTGTGCTGCCCTTTCTTCTTATGTTCAAGCCTGTGCAACTAAAGGGATCGTCATTTCCAATTGGAGGATGAATGTATGCTGTAAGTATGACGGTATCAACCATTGTTTATGAGTTTTGTGGCTCAGGTGGTAACACTCTTGCCTCTGAATCAAAAGGTTGTCATTTCAAATACCACTGCACTATTTTAACACATCCAATTGTCACCACAGAGTTAATCAATTCCATGCAGTATGTTAATGGAGATGGAAGTGCCATAGCTGGACATACATGAATGGTATGAAGGGTCTTATAGGAAGTACAGGTTGGCTTAGACAGTTAGATGAATCACTGGGGTCGGTGGAGGCATAGTATGGCATTAAAACTGTAAGAAATCATGGGGGTGAGTGGAAGGGCACAAAGCAGCATGAATTGGAAGTGTGTGTGGGGGTAAAAGGAGGGAAGGCCTGGGGGTGTTACGGATTTTATGTTATTCCTGAGACAATGTCTGACAGAATTGAGGTTGGGATTTGACACCTGACAGCCTCTGAACATTTTCCTAGTTGGATAGCCTGAATGCAGCCAGTATCCCCTCCCGCCAGGAATAAAAACTCTGCCTATATGAGCACTTCCTTCTTTGATGATACTGTGGCTTTAAAGAAGTACAATTTGCCCTTTTTTTTAAGTTAAGAGAGGTTGAGACAGAAGTGATTGGTCTGTTCCAAGCCAATAAAGTAGACAGCTTGAGGCCTTGGGTTTAGTTTTTAGTTGGAACAATAGAAGCAGCACGAATGGTTGGTGTCAGGCTCCCACAGGACCAGGATTTTAGTTTAACTTCTGGCAGTTGCTGGAGTCTTGAAGCTGGATTGTGGAAGCTGTTATTCCTCTCTGTTACAGCTAATTGGATTCTGCAGTTGGATTCTGTTTCTGTTGCTGGAATTACATGTGAAACAATCTATTTTACTGAATTTGCCTTTGCCAAGTATGTGTTTATGGGATGTTACTAAATTAGAACAGTTGTTGTTTAGCAGTTAAATAATCTATTCTTCTGTTAAGTTTTCCAATACAATTAAGTTATTCCAATTCTTCTCTCTTTTATTTGTATTTTAACTGTAGTACGAGAATAAAGTGAGTTTTGCTTCAAACCTGATATTTTGACCTTTCAAATTCCATCCGTTACAAAACACCTTACATATGCCTTTAAAAATAAGAAAACGTTGGGGTCTATGGTATGTTCTTAATATATTTGAAGGGGTTTTGGTCTGGTCCATAACACTTCTAAAATGAGCAGGCCAAGCAAGGAAGTTTCCTGACTACTGCAACTGGCCTCCAGGATAAAAACCCAGTCTATAGTTACACATTGTGTTATTAGCTGATGTTATGTACTATAAAATTCTGCAATTCTATAAGGAAGCCATTTGGCCAATCATGCCTGAATCAGCTTGCAAAAAAGCTACCCAGTTAGTCCCATTCTCCAGTTCTGTCTCCGTAGCCCTCTGAATTGTAAAATAACACTTTATGAAACAACATTATGTTTATTTATTTTAGATTTATTTTAAACTGGTAGTTTGGAAATTCCTCAAATTTTCTGTTTTTGCTCATTTCAGCCAAATACCTCACCTGTCCCAAGACTCTCATCTACAACTACAATATGACAAGCTGCCATCGCACTTGCAAGTCCCTAGGAGCACCAGATAAAACATGTGAGATTGACTTTGTGCCAGTTGATGGATGTGGTTGTGCTACTGGAACCTACATGGACGAAACTGGCAAATGTGTACCACCCTCCAGCTGTCCATGCTATTATAGGGGGTTGACAGTGCCAGCAGGAGAGGTCATTCATGAGGAAGATGCCATGTGGTGAGCTTATGAAGTTAATTAATGATTTAACTGTGCAGCAGCAGCTGAACACAGTGTTTGATGAAATCCTATTATTTAATTTTAGTACCTGCAATCAAGGGAAGCTGGAGTGGATTGGAAAAGAATTAAAACTTCAAGGTAACATCTTGAAAAGAAGTAATTATTCAGACGGACAACTTTTTTTGTGTTTTCTAAATCCACTTTTGGTTCTGCTTTCCAGCCTGTGTTGCTCCCATGGTTTACTTTGACTGCAATAACGCTTCAGCTGACAGTGTTGGTACCGAATGTCAGAAGAGTTGCCAAACCCTTGATATGGAGTGTGTAAGTGTTAATAATGAGTGGGATTATCTTTGCAAATATTTTAATAATCAGATACACTTATGATTCTTATATATTGTTCTTTATTCTTGACTTTAGAGCTACCATGCTGCTTATTCGTTCAAGAGTTTTTGTCTTTTAGTCTTCTCTGTTCAATGTATCACATGTAGCAAAAGCACTGTTGTACAGGTGGCACGATGGCTCAGTGGTTAGCACTGCTGCCTCACAGCGCCAGGGATTCGATTCTAGCCTCGGGTGTCTGTCTGTGTGGAGTTTGCACATTCTCCCCATGTCTGTGTGGGTTTCCTCCGGATGCTCCGGTTTCCTCTCGTTTCCTCCTGTGCAGGGGAGGTGGATTGGCCATGCTAAATTGCCCGTAGTGCCCAGGGATGTTTAGGTTAGTTAGGTTAGACAAGGGAAATGTAGAGGTAGGGGAATGGCTCTGAGTGGGATGCTCTTCAGAGGGATGGTGTGGACTTGTTGGGCCAAATGGCCTGTTTCCACACTGTAGGGATTGTATGTATGTATGTAACTCAGAGATCTAAGGAATTTTGGAACAGAAGTAGTTCATGCATCCTATTGAGTCTTCTGCCACTCATTTAGGTAATGACTGATCTGTGTCATAGCTCCATCACCCTGCTTTGTTTCCATATCCCTTACCTAACTAAACTGTATTGTAATGGGACAGACTTTGAACAGGCCTAGCAAGTAAAGTCTGGGCATCCATGAGGTTCGGTGGGCCTTCAGTAGTAGCAGAATCATACTCTAACCTCATGGCCCGGCATTTCCCCCCACTCAACCATGAACATCAAGCCAAGGGATCAACCCTGCTTCACTGAAGAGTACAAAAGGGCATGCCAGGAGCAGACCAGGCATACCTAAAAGTGAGATGTCAACCTGGTGAAATTGCAAGATAGGACTACTTGTGTGCCAAACAGCATAGTGGCAACTGTTAGGTAGAGCTAAGCAATCCCACAACCAACAGCTCTGATCTAAGTTCTACAGTCCTGCCACATCCAGTTGTGAATGGTGGTGGACAATTAAGCGACTCACTGGAGGTAGAGGTTCCACAAGTATCCCCATCTTCAATGATGGGGAGATAAAGCTGAAATATTCACAATAATCTTCAGTCAGAAGTGCAGGCTGGATGATCCACCTTGGCCTTTTCCAGCCCATTGCATCACAGATGCTAGTCTTCAGCCAATTTAATTCGTTTCACTCCATGTGGTGTCAAGAAGCAGTTGGTGGTACTAGATACTGCAAAGGTTATGGACCCTGACAATATTCTGGCAATAGTACTGAAGACTTGTGCTCCAGAACTTGCCACAACCCTACCTAAGCTGTTCCAGTACAGCTACAACCCTAACATCTACCCAACAGTGTGGATATTTTCCCAGGTATGTACTACATACAAAATGCAGGACAAGTCCAACCCAGCCAATTACTACCCCATCAGTGGTCTCTTGATCATCAGTAAAGTGTCAAAAAAAAGATAGAAGGTGTCATCAACCGTGCTATCAACAGCTTGTTCGCTGAAGCTTCTGTCCTCATTACAGCCTTGGCTCAAACATATGGACAAAAGAGTTAAATTCCAGAGGTGAGGTGACAGTGACAGCCCTTGAAGTCAAGGTCATATTTGACCAAGTGTGGCATCAAGGAGCTGTTGCAAAACTGAAATTAATAGGAATCAGGGGGCAAACTCTCTGCTGGTTGGAGTTATGCCTGGCATATGGGAAGATGGTTGTGGTTGTCAGAGGTCAGTCATCTCAGCTCCAGGACATCCTGCAGGAGTTCCTCGGGGTAGTGCCCTGGGCCCAACCATCTTCAGCTGCTTCATCAATGACCTTCCTCCATCATAAAGTCAGAAGTGGGAATGTTTGCCGATGATTGGACGATGTTGCCATTTGCGACTCCTCAGGTACTGAAGCAGTCTATATTCAAATGCACCAAGGTCTGGACAATACTAAGGCTTGACCTGACAAGCCGCAACTAACATTTGCGGTACACAAATACCAGGCAATGATCATCTCCAGTAAGAGACAATCTAACCACTGCCCCTTGGCTTTCAATGGTGTTATCCCCCATAGTCAACATCTTGGAGGTAACCATTGATCAGAAACTCAACTGGACTCATCATATAAATACAGTGACTACAACAGCAGGTAGAGACTTAGGAATACAACAGCGAATAACTCACCTCCTAACTCTGCAAAGCCTTCCACCAACTCCAAGGCACAAGTCAGGGATGTGATGGAACATTCCCCACTTTTCTGGATGAATGCAGCTCTAACAACATTTAAGACGCTTCATACCATCCAGGACAAAGCTGCCCGCTTGATTGGCACTACATCCACAAGCATCCATTCCCTCCACCCACCACAAGATACATTGCAGAAATTTGCCAAACATCCTTAAACACCACCTCGAAACCCCATGACCACTTCCATTGAGAAAGAAAGGGCCAGCAGATGAGGAACATCACCACCTTCAAGTTCCCCTCCAAGTCACTCACTATCCTGACTTGGAAAAATGTTGTTGTTCCTTCAGTGTCACTTGGTCAAATTCTAGAATTTCCTCACTAAGGGTCTACCTACAGCACACAAAGTTCAGCAGTTCAAGAAGACAGCTCACCCATCACCTTCTTAAGGGACAGACAATAAAATGCTACCCAGCCAGTCATACCCATGTCTCACAAGTGAATAATAAAAAAAACAGCATCTGGGGAGAATTCCAGATTTCCAAAGTTCTTCGTATGAAGAAATTCTTCCTGATACAATGCCTTATTATTCCCCCTTATTCTGGGCTCCTTACATAAAAATGATCTTTCCTCCAACATAAAGTCATAAGTATGGATGTTTGCAGATCATTACACAGTGTTCAGGAGAATTTACAACTCCTCAGATACTGAAAGAGTTCATTCCACATGCAGCAGGATCTGGACAACATTCAGGCTTGGACTGAGAATGGCAAATGACGTACACACTAAACACATAGCAGGCAACCATTATCTCCAACAAGACACAATCTGACCATCTGTTTGTGACATTCAATGTAACTGAATCAGCTGAATAAACTTTGTGGCTACACAGACACGTCAGAGGCTGAACTCTGCATCAGATAACTCTGCCCACCAGCTTTTAAAAAAAATTGTTCATGGGAAGTGGATGTCACAGGTTAGACTAGAGTTTATTGCGCATCCTTAATTACTCATAAGAAGGTGGTAATGAGCTGGCTTCTTGAACTGCTGCAGTCATTGGGGTGTAGGAACAACAGGTGTTGTTAGGAAGGGAATTCCAGGACTTTTACTCCATGACCATGAGAGTTCCAAGTCAGGATGGTGTGTGGATTAGAGGAGATCTTCCCAGAACAGGTTTATCATCTACAAGACAGACGTCAGGAGTGTGATGGATGAGTACAGCTCTAGCAACACTCAAGAAGCTCAATACCATCTAGGACAAAGCAGCTCACTTGATTGGAGTCTCACCCATCATCGTGCACATTCACTCTCTCCACTGCCAACACTGTGTGTTCCATCTGTAAGATTTGTTGCAGGAACTTGCTAAGTACCTTCTAAACCTGCAACCTTTACCATCTAGCAGGGCAAAGGCAGAAAGACAACTATCTGCAAGTTTTCCTTTGAGTCACACACTTTCCTGACTTGGAGATATATTAGTTATTCCTTCATTGTCTAAGACTCAAAATCATGGAACTCCCTGACAGCACTATATGTTTACTGACAAAAGAAAGACCGAAACAGTGCAAGAAGGTGGCTCACTAGCAAGAGTAACTACGGATAGAAACTAAATGCTGACCTTGCCAAAGGTAGTGACATCTCAAAACTTAGTTTTAAATATGTTCTCTTTATATACCAAGTCACATCCTTTAATCAACTTAAACATTTCAATTAGAACACTCTGAATGTTCTGTATTTGAGGGAATGTGAGCCTCATCTTCACAACCTTTGCATAATTTACCCCTTTTTGTTTCACTGTCATCCTGGTGAATTTGCATGACATCCCCTGCTCCCCGCAATCCATAATGTTTTTCATAAATGTAGTACCCCAGACTTAACCTAATCTTTCCACCTTCAGTTTTTCTGTTGCTTAATCTTTTTACCTGTCAAAGTTTTCGTTATCTCTGCATATTGTACCTCTTTGCCATTCTGTAGTTAAATAAAATTTTCCATGTTATTACTTTACAGTATGCCACAGGTTGTGTTTCTGGATGTGTATGTCCTGAAGGTTTAGTTTCTGATGGAAGTTGTGGCTGTATCCCTATAAATCAGTGCCCATGTACACATAATGGAATTCAGTACCATTCTGGGGACATTGTGCAGGTGGACTGTAACTCATGGTATGTAGAAAATATTGACTCATTTTTACCGACAGGATGAACTGTCAGGTACAAAAGTGTAATAACCCGAGCAATATAAATTCGGTTAATGTACATTTTATTTGACTTTTTAAGTGAATGCAAGAATAGATTGTGGACCTGCACAAACCAACAGTGTCATGGGACATGTATGATCTATGGAGATGGGAACTACATCACTTTCGATGGAAAACGTTACAACTTTAATGGCAACTGTGAATACATTGTTGCACAGGTACTGGGGACAAATATGCCCATTCATTAAAAATAATCATTGTATTATTTTTAAAATAGAACAAAAGTACAAGTACAATGATGCTAAATTGCTCCGTTTATTATTGCTGTTACATTCCAATTTCAGAATTTTTAGAGCTAAGTTAGTTTTGTTTGCAGTTCATTTATAGACTTAGAGTTATATATTTTGTGGAATTGTTAGTTTTTTAATTCTGTCTCTTCATACCTGTTAGGATTATTGTGGAAATAACACTTCTGATGGCACCTTCAGAGTAATCACTGAAAACATGCCTTGTGGGACCACTGGAACAACATGTTCTAAATCAATTAAAATCTTCTTGGGGGTAAGTGAACAGGATAATATACAATCAGCATCACTGCCTCTGTTTCCTGCAATTGAAAGGGTACAGGTAAAAGTGTTGAGAGGAACTAGATGTTAAGTATTTTGAAAAACAGGGCTTCAATGGGTTAGAATCTCTGGATTTTGCCCAAACCACATGCAAATTGAAATTGAAATTAGTAGATAAGGTAAGCGACTGAAAGAATGGTATGGGAAGGGTGTTGTATTAGACACTAGCACTGGCACTGGAACGGGAGGGAATCGTACATTTGCTGAACTGGGCTGGGGACCAGGATCCTAGTGAAAAGAATGAAAGGAGCAGTTACAAAAATTTTAGGAGAATGAATTGGGATTGAAAAGATAGTAGGAACCATAACTCTGCAGCAAACATAAAAGGTCAGACTAATAATCAGAATGGTGCTTCATGTACGATTCTAAAAGTAATGGAATCGAGAGAGAGAATTAAGAAATGTACATGGGAAAATAACAGTGCTGCTGACGGAAAAGTATGTCTGCTACCCAAATGGGGTAGTCGCTATACAAATGCAAATTCAACTCAGGTCAGTCAGGAGTAATATGGACTCTTTTGAGAATGATAACACTGATGTGGTCAGTGAGAATAAGATAATGATAGGCACATCAAATAATTACAGGTTACAGGACAGGAAAAGGATAGTGTGCTGGACATGCGAGTGAATATTACTATTGAATAAGAGATAGGGATTCACTGGAATTGACTTAAACAAAGTAGATGTAATGAGGAAAGCAAAGTGCTAAAGAGTAATAAATCTCCAGATGGTTTCCATTTCAGGATTTTAAAGTAGTCAATAAGAACATTTCAGATGCCCTAACTATAATCTGGTGAAACAAAAAAATACAGAACAGTCTGTGAAAAACTCAGCAAGTTAGGTAGCATCTATGGAGATGGAAGAATAGAGTTAATAGGCCGAATCTTATGTTTATTTGGCTAAATGCAAGATGCATCAAATTCTTGGGGGTTTTTCATTGTGAGGCTCAATGTATTTTCTCACTACCTTACCAAACTCACCTCATTAACTACCACATGCAAATAGCCTCCCTCTCACCTTATTCTATCCCGATCATCATGCACTTTTCCCAGAACAGCTCACCAGATATCCCAGAATTGACCAGCATCCTTGGCTTCAGTGCTATTTAAAAGACCATTGTGCATCTAAACAAGCATCATCAGTCTGGAGCCCTGCATGGTTAATGACATTTTCCCTGAACATGGCAGACAAGAAAAATTTGGTGCTCCATTTTGATGGCAAGGGTCTAGAGGTCCTGGTGTATGTGGTGCACAGATGGGACATCCTCTTTCCCTAAGACCAGCAGAGGCCATGACGGCAGACTATGCCAGTCTACTCTGAGGTCGCCACCAAGGTCAGTGGAGGAATGCCCAGTAATGTAGGAAGAAAAGGTCAACGTCCTCGAGATGCAGAGAGGTGAGGGAGGGAATCGTAGAGCTTAGGACCAAGGTAACTGAAGTTACAGTTGCTAGATTTGGGGTTAAAGTCAAAGATGCTCAAGGCCAAAATTAGGTGAACATGGTATTCTGGTAAGGTTGTGAAGCTGAAGGATATGACAGAGACAGGAGGAGGTGAGGCCATGGATTATTTTGAAAAGAAGGCAACAGTTTTAAAATCAAGACTTTTCTTGATCAAGGCTCATGTAGGTCAGTGAACACAAGGGTGATTGGTGAATGGGATTTGGTGTGAGTTAAGACACAAGTACCAGAGATTTTCATGACCTGAAGTTTATTGAGTGTAGAATATATAAGACCAGATGAGTGTGCACTGGTTTAGTCAATTTCAGAAGATAATAAATGCATTATTGTGGATTTCAGCAGAGATGAGCTAAGGCAGAGTGATCAAAAGCAAAGTTGCTGGAAAAGCTCAGCAGGTCTGGCAGCATCAGTTCTGAGGAAGGATCACCAGACCCGAAGCGTTGACTCTGTTTTTTCCTTCACAGATGCTGCCAGACCTGCTGAGCTTTTCCAGAAACTTTGTTTTTGTTCCTGATTTACAGCATCCGCAGTTCTTTCGGTTTTTATTATTGCAGAATGATGTTGGGCAACACAGGCAAGAGTAAAAAGACAGTCTCACACAGCTGTCAACAAGAGGGACAAAGTTATTAGCTAGGAAATGGAGTTTGGAGTGGGCCTCAAAAATAGCTTTGGTCCTCTCAATGTTTGATTGAAGAAAATTCCTGCTGATTTAGTCCTGAATGTCAGATAGCAATCTATGCACTTAGGCATTGACAGAGATGGATGTCGTCAGAATAAATGTGATCACTAACTATATGCCTTCAGAAGCTGCCACCAAATGGCAGCATTGGATAAAATACCGAATAGGACCAAGAATGAATCATTTGGGGTCATCGAGATAACGGTGTGGGAGCATGAAGGGAAGCCAATAGAATAAGTACCTTGACTATGATTAAAGACAAACCCGGTGAGAGCAGTCTCATCTACCTGGACAACAATGGGGAGGTTTTGTAGGAGGATGGTGGGATCAACAGTGACAAAGTCTGCAGATAGGTTGAGAAGAACAACGTGGGAGAGTTTACCTTTGGCATAGGTGTACGGAGTCAAGGGCAGAAATCTGATTGGAGGGATTCAAACATGGAATTCCAAGAAAGATAGGTACTGGTTTGGGAGGTAATAACACGTTCAAGGACTTGAGAGGAAATGAAGGTTGGAGATGGAAATTTGCAAGAATGGTGGCGGTTGGCAGATTTTGAGGAAAGCAGTGATGAGCTTTAACTTATTGACGAGAGAGGCAATACAATTAACACCACTAGCTAATTGGAAGAAGGGAAAGTTGGATTACCAAAGGTTGAGTGGGAGCAGGAGATGGGACTCGTGGAGAAGATGAATTTGGTGAGGAACAGGAAACAGTCAAAAAACCAAATAGAATTTAGCCTTTATATTTAGAAGATTGGAAGAGAATGGGGTAAAAGTCATGCTTCAGCTACACAAAGCCCTGTTTATCTATCAAGTATCGTGACCAATCCTGGGTATCACACCTTCAGAGTAGAGTAAATTTTATGGAGAGCAGTGTAGATTTAGCAAAGTGACTCCTGACTCTAAGGATTTCTAGAGGATTTCACATCTTAAAATTAAAAAGACACTTGTGCTGTTAATTATAAAACTGAACTTTATGTGACAGGCTTAATTGACAATTAATGTTCAAAACCGGTAAAGTCTTAAACATATGCCAAGAGTGCAAGAGTACCTTTTATACAAAGAAAATGTTGGAGCAAACGCAGCAAATTCTGGAGATCTGTGCCTCATCTTTTTATCCCTTGAACTGGCTGAACAATTCATGTTTTAATAACACAGTATGTTGTTAACACACAATACTTTTCCAATAAGACACAACAAACCAGCAGATACAGAAATTTCATGCTGCAATTTATACATAGTTATTTTACATGGTATTTATCTCATTAGATTGTTTACAATCTTTCAGAACTTGGAAATAAAACTCTCAGGTGGAAAGTATGAAGTGGTGAAGTTTGGTAGCGGCAAACACATTCCTTATGAAGTGCGTTATCTTGGCATTTACCTTGTAATTGAAGCTAAAAATGGATTGGTATTGATCTGGGACAAGAAAACAAGCTTGACCATTAAACTCAGTCACTCCTTTCAGGTAAGTGCTTACTTCTGAACCTTGATATTACAAGTGATGTTCTTTACATTAACAGCAATTTAAAATATTTTGAACTATCAAATTTCACTCATTTCAACACTCCTTATCATTGCTCATGGTTGAGATATCTCAAACCCCTTCACATATAATTATTTACTTTGAGATAGATTGAGAATTATGATGATGGCTAACACGCACTGCCACAATATGTAAGCATGTGATTTCTTGTTACTGTTTTTATTGCCCGAGATTGACTATCACAGTCTGTTCTCCAGCAAGTCACCGTGTACTTTCTCAACTGAAGCTAATGAATGAAAAGCACACCTGGGAACAATTCAAATAATGGCCAAAGCACAGCAATAACATATATTGTAGGAGAAGATATCTGCCTGTTGATTTCAGAGAATGATATTTGATTTATTTGATTTATTTACTGCCACATGTATTGGGTAAATCTTTTTTTTTGCAGAGCATTGTTAATAGCCAGTATAATTATAGACATATGACCATGTGAATCACAAGGAGGAGTAGGCCATTTGGCCCTTTAAGCTTGTTCCACGATTTATAAGATCATGGCTGATCTCATTGTAACATCAAATCCACATTCATTCCAACCCTGATAACTTTTCACCCCTTTGCTTAACTAGAATCTACCTTCTCTTGCCTTAAAAATATTCAAGGACTCTGTCTTTTCAAGGAGAGAGTTCAAAAGACTCAAGACCCTCTGAGAGTAAAATTTCAACTCATCTGTTTTGAATGAGGGGTTACCCCTTTTAGACTCTCCCTAAGAGGAAACATCCTCCCCATGTCTCCTCCATCATGACCCTTCAGGATTTTAAATGTCATTTCAATCAAATTGTTTCTTACTCTAAACTCCAGTGTATACAAGCCTAGCCTGTCCAGCATTTCCTCAAAAGATAACCTGCCCATTCTAGGGGGTATTAGTCTAGAAAACTTTCTCTGAACTGCCTCCAACACATTTGCATCTTTCCTTAAATACTGTAACCTGTACTGTGCACAGTTCTCCGAATGTGGTCTCCCGAATGCCCTGTATAACCAAAGCATACTTTTGTATTCAATTCCTTTCACAACAAACAACAGTATTCTAATGGCTTTCCTGATTACTTACTATATCTGCATATGAAACTTTTGTGAATAATGCAGTAGGACACTCGGATGCCTCTGTATCTCATGGCTCTGCAATCTTTCACATTTAAATCATCTATTTCTTTCTTATTCTTCCTTCCAAAATGGACAACGTCACATTTTCCCCACACTAGGCCTCATTTGCCAAATCTTTACCCCCTCACTTAACCTGTCAATATCATTTTTGTAACATCTCTGTGTCATCTTCTGTTCCTATTTTCCTACCTATCTTTATGTTGTTGGCACATTTGGCAATAATACCTTCCAACCTTCATCTGCACCATTGATTTAAAAGCTATGCTTGCTGATACCCAGGCTCACTAGCAGGGAGAAAATAGGTGCAGGAGCAGGCCATTCAGCCCTTTGAGCCTGCACTACCATTCAATACAATCATGGCTGATCATGCAATCTCAGTATCCCATTCCTGCCCTCTCCCCATACCCCTTGATCCCTTTAACCACAAGGGCCATGTCCAGCTTCCTTTTGAATGTATCTAATGAACTGGTCCCAACAGCTTCCTGTGGGAGAGAATTCCACAAGTTCACAACTCCGAGTGAAGAATTCTTCCTTATCTCAGTTCTGAATGCAATTGGTTCCATGGTGTAATGGCTAACACTCTGGGCTTTGCATCCAGCGATCCAAGTTCGAATCTCAGTTGGACCTCTAATTGTTGTGTCCCTCCAAATTGTTTAATTAGGAGCATGACAGTGAAATTTGCCAACAGACCAATCTAAGGCTGGACCTTTTAGCACCGCCACGTCAGAACTCATCACATTTTGGGGCGGCACGGTGGCACAGTGGTTAGCACTGCTGCCTCACAGCGCCAGGGACCCAGGTTCGATTCCAGCCTCAGGCGACTGTCTGTGTGGAGTTTGCACATTCTCCCCGTGTCTGCGTGGGTTTTCTCCGGGTGCTCCGGTTTCCTCCCCCAGTCCAAAGATGTGCAGGTTAGGTGGATTGGCCATGCTAAATTGCCCATAGTGTTCAAGGAGGTGTAGATTAGGTGGGTTATAGGGGGATGGGTCCGGATGGGATGGTCTGAGGTTTGGTGTGGACTTGTTGGGCCGAAGGGCCTGTTTCCACTCTGTAGGGATTCTATGATCTATGAATGGCTTACCCCTTATTCTTAGACAGTGTCCCCTTGTTCTGGACTTCCCCAACATTGGGAACATTCTTCCCACATCTAGCCTGTCGAGTCCCATCAGGATTTTATCTTTCTTTAAGATCCCCCCTGATTCTTCTAAATTCCAGTGAATACAAGCCTGTTCAACTCAGTCCTTCCTCATAAGTCAGTCCTGTCATCCCACGTATCAGTCTGGTGAACCTTCACTCAACTGCATTAATAGCAAGTATGTCCTTCCTCAGACTAGGAGACCAAAACTGCACACAATACTCAAGGTGTGGCCTCACCAAGGCCCTGTTTAACTGCAGCAAGACATCCTTACGCCGACATTCAAATCCTGCCAACCTGAAAAGGATTCACTTACACCTGCACTGTGAGTCCTGTTAGCCAGCCAATTTTCTATCCATGCCAAAATGCTACCATCTACCATGCACAATAACCTTTGATATGGCACCTTATCAAATGCCTTCTGAAAGTCAGAGAACAGTACATCAACCCATTTCCCTTTATCCACCATATGCGTAATATTTGAGTGACTCTGTTTTGGGATCAGGTACACTTCAATAAATTAATGAGGGAATCTGACCTTTTGTCCTATCATTATCGTGCTCAGTAGTGGCCAACACAAAAGCAAGGTGATTTTCAATTAATTGCTCCAACATTTCATCCTCATGATTAGGAGGATGGTAAAATAAAACTCTTCTAATGACAAATACAGTGTGAAACTCTGAAATTATAGATGCCTTCTAGCTCTGAACATCCAACCAGAGGTAATTGTTCCTGTAATCACTGTTTGTAATGTGTTGACCTAAGAAATCATTCCCATTTTTGGCAAATTTACTTATGTTGCATTAATTGAGATATTGAGGTGAGAACTAACTGGAATTCAGATGACTCTCCCATCATAACCTTTTTTCAAACATTGTCATAAGCTACAACGATCTACAACACGTGACCAGCAGTGTGCCACAAGGCTCGGTGCTGGGTCCACTGCTTTTCATCATTTATATGAATGATTTGGATGTGAATATAGGAGGTAGGGTTTGCCACTCCTCACCCCATTTGCCCATCTGATCAAGGTCCTATTGTACTCTGAAGTAACCTTCTTCACTGTCCAGTACACCTCCAATTTTGGTGTCATCTGCAAACTTATTGACCAAACCTCCTTTATTCACATCCAAATCATTAATATAAATGATTAAAAGCAATGGACCCAGCATAAATCCTTGTGACACACTGCTGAACACAGTCCTTCAGTCTGAAAAGCAACCCTCCACCACCACCCTCTGTCTTCTACCTTCGAAATCAATTCTGTATCCAACTGGTTAATTCTCCCTGTATTACATGTGATCTAACTTTGCTAACCAGTCTATCATGAGGAACCTTGACGAACACCTTACTGAAATCCACATATATCATGTCCACCACTCTGCCCCCATCAATCCATTTTGTTATTTTGTGGGAGTCTTTTTAAGGACTAGTTGATTCGAATGAAGGACAGACATGGTTCCTGTGAAAATGAAGGCTAGGCATGGCAGATTTGGGAACTTTAGATGACAGGGGAAATTATCAGCTTAGTCAAACAAAAAAGCATGCCTAAGGTCTAAGCAACTAAAAACAGACAAAGTCCTTGTGGAATATAAAGAAGGAACAAGCTCAGACAAGGAGTCAGAAGAGCTAAAAGGTGTGATGAAATGTCCTTGGCAGCAGGGTTAAGAAGAATCCCAAGGCTTTTATACGTATATTAGGAGCAAGAGGGTAGCTAGAGAAAGAGTAGGCCCACTCAAGGATAAAGGAGGGAGGTTATGTATGGAGCCAGTGGAAATGTGTGAGATCCTTAATGAATATTTTACATTGGTATTCACCAAAGAGAGGGACATGAGGGATGCTGAAGTTAGGGAATATGAGTGAATACACTTGGGCAGGTCAACATAAAGAAGGGGGAAGTGATGGGTGTCTTGAAATACATTAAGATAGACAAGTCTGCAAGGCCCGATGGGATCCATCCCAGGATACTGTGGGAAGCAAGGGAGGAAATAGCTGGGGCCTTAGCAAATATCTTTGCATCCTCTTTGGCCTCAGGCAAGGTTCCAGAGGACTGGAGAATGGCCAACAACGTTCCATCATTTAAGAAGAAACAGAGGTAATCCAGGTAATTACAGGCCAGTGAGCCTGACGTGGGGAAGCTGTTGGAGAAGATACTGAGCGACAGGATTCATTCACAATTGGAAGCAAATGGACTTGTTAATGATAGGCAGCATGGTTTTATGCGGGGAAGTTCATATTTCACCAACTTGATTGAGGTTTTTGAGGAGGTGACAGGAATGATTGATGAGGGAAGAGCAGTGGATGTTGTTACAGGGACTTTAGTAAGACATTTGATAAGATGCCTCATGGCATACTGGTACAGAAGATAGAGTCTAATGGGATCTGGGGTGAACTGGCTAGATGGATACAAAACTGGCTTGGTCATAGAAGACAGACAGTAGCGGTGGAACGAGGTTTTTCGGTTCAGAGGTCAGTAACTAATGGTGTTCCTCAGGGATCAGTGCTGAGACCTTTGTTGTCTGTAATATATATAAATAATCTGGAGGAAATTGTAGATGGTCTGATTAGCAAGTTTGCGGATGACACCAAACTTGGTGGAGTTACAGATAGCATGGAGAATTGTCAAAGGATAGAGCAGGATATAGATAGATTGCAGATTTGGGCAGAGAAATGGCAGGTGGAGTTTTACCTGGACAAATGCAAGTTAATGCATTTTGGAAGATCAAATTCAGGTGTGAATTATGCAACAAATGGCAGAACCCTTAGGGGCATTGACATACAGTGAAATCTGGGTGGACAGATCCACAGATCCCTGAAAATGGCAACACAGGTGGACAAGGTGGTCAAGAGGCATATAGCATGCTTGCTTTCATTGGCTGGGGCATCGAATATAAAAGTTGACAAGTCATGTTACAGCTGTACAAAATTTTAGTTAGGCCACGTTTGGAATAATGCATGCAGTTCTGGTCGCCACATTACCAGAAGGACATGGATGCTTCGGAGAGGGTGCACACAACGTTTACTAGGATGTTGCCTGGTCTAGTGAGTTTTAGGTATAAGGAAAGATTGGATAAACTCGGATTATTTTTCATTGGAAATATGGAAGCTGAGGGGAGGGGGGGGGGGGGCAGGGGGGTGACCTGATAGATGTCTACAAAATTATGAGATGCATACGCAGGGTGGATAGTCAGAGCCTTTTACCCAAGGTGGAAAGGTCAACTACAAGAGGACACAGGTTCAAGGTGAGAGGGGGAAAGTTTAGGGAAGAAGTACAGGGAAAATTTTTCACACAGAGGGTGGTGGGTGCCTGGAATGAACTGCCAGTGGAGGTGGTGGAAGCAGGCATGTTAGCAAAGTTTAAAGTGTACCTTGATAGACATATGAATATGAGGTGAACAAATAGATGAACACCGTGCATGAGCAATATGTGGCGGGTATAAATAAGGACTAGGAATCGGCACAGGCTTAGTGGGTTAAAGGGCCTGTTCCTGTGCTGTATTGTACTGTATAAGACTAAATATGCTCAAAAACCCTCCGTCCACCTATCCAAGGTTATTGTTGTGTGTCTACGTTACTGTATGCTGTCTACCATCTAGAAGGACAAGGGCAGTAGATGCATGGAAACACCATCACTTTCAAATTCTCATTCCAGTCACAGTATTTCTTTTAAAGGTTACAGGGTCAGAATTCTTATTGAGTACTGTGGGAGCACTTTCATCACTGATAACAAAGGCTCAAGAAGCAACCCTTCTGAAAGCAACTTGTGATAAACAATTAGTGCCAGCCTGAACAACAATATCCAGATCCTAAAAATGAAGTTTTTAAAAGTTTAGAACAGAGTACTATAATTAGTAAGAATTTGGAGGTCAAAACAGTATTTGTTATTTAGACTGTTCTTTTTAATCAATGAAAAATCATACCAAAGTGCAAATGTTTCTTATTGGTCCATTAATGAGCTAGCAAACTGTTTTTTGATCTTTTGTAAGTAAATGATGACAGTGTAAAGCGTTGTTTCACTAAACATGATGACTTTGGAATACTATAATATGCGGTTTAGTTGTCTCCCACCAGCACCAAGTTATGTTTTTTTAAATCACCTTTGAAGGAAAAAAATAGAAAAGAGGGAGAAAACAACCCAATAATTCTCACTTTTTTTTGGTATTACAGGGTACCATCTGTGGATTGTGTGGTAATTATGATGGCAATGTACACAATGACTTTACAACCAGAAACCAGTTGGTGGTTGTAAACAAGGAGGAGTTTGGAAACAGCTGGAAGTTGTCACCTGCTTGTCCAAATGTAAAGAAAAATGAAGACCCTTGTTCAATTAACCCTCATCGAGATGCATGGGCTCAGAAACAGTGCAGCATCCTCAAGGATAAACCGTTTCTGGCTTGTAATTCTCAGGTACAGCATTATTCACCCAAGTATTTCAAATATCTTTTCACCACATCACATAAAAATCCCTAATTGTGTGGGGGCAGGGATGGTTTCCATCTTCCTATGCAAAGAACTTGTAACAACTACCAAGAGTGAAATATTTTTCAAAAAAGAAAGGACAGTATATTCTTAAGTTTCTAGTGATAACTGAGAGGTAAAAATGGAAAGATCCTAGAATTGTTAACTAATTGTCTCAACAGTGCAGCTAGGTGAAATGTAATTTCTTCATATTTTCAGTTCAAATGTGTTCAATGTGCTCAATGTGCCTACTGTTAGAGGTCAGATAGCCAGGCTGTGAATTGAAGCCATCTTTATAAACTTGCAAGCTTTTATTTATAGATATACACATTATCTACCACACCTTTCTAATTTAACAGTTTCAAGCCCACCCTATAAATTGTAGAATATAGGGTAAATTTTTAGTTAATGCTGTCTGCCTGAATAGAATTATGCACCAACTCCCCACTGAAATTTTCTGAAATGAAACTTGCAGATGGTCTTGATTCTGTGAAGTTATACTTTCCATTTTCATGAATATCTGAAAGAAATTAGAAACTGAGAGTGTCATTAAAGTTTAATACTTTCCTCAGTGTTTAAAAATGGAATGCAGTTAACATACAAAAGTTGCTGGACAATTTGAATCATTCCGTTGAAAAGTGCAGGAGAAAAGTTTTAACTAACTGCCCTAAGTGAAGGGATTAAAGATTTGAAATTGACAAATAGAAATATCTGAAGGATTTGAGTTACAGGAGAGATGCAAGCACTCAGGGCTAAAAGGCCTCGTGTAGTAGTGTATTTATTTCAAAGAAAATTCTCCATTTATAGAAACTGGGTTCAGGGAGTGGTCTCAAAAAGTTGGAGATGAATCGAGTTTGGGGCAACTTGTCCTGTGAGAAGTGCACTACTTTTTGAGCAATCTCTTAACTTGCCTAATTCCTTTTGTTCAAAGCCACATTATGCATCCGTATGAACATGATCTCTGTGAAATAAAATTTGAGATATCTGTATTTGTATTTTTTCATGAGGTGTAAACTTTCTAATGTTTACTATGCAGGTTAATCCAACTCCATATTATGAAGCTTGCGTACGGGATGCATGTGCCTGTGACTCTGGTGGAGATTGTGAATGTTTGTGTACAGCTATTGCTGCTTACTCTTTGGCCTGCAGTACTGTTGGGGTGTGCATTTCCTGGAGAAATCCTGAATTTTGTCGTGAGTAATATTTTGCTTACATTCAATAATAGGCTTGGGAGAGTAGCTGAAACCTCTAACTTCCATCAAGTCACCCACCTCTCAGGATTATTTGTAGCTAAGATACCAGACCTCTAAGATTCTGCAACCCATGAACAAGATCAATTCTGAGTCAGCCACAGGAGAATGTGCAAGAGGGTTATTTTTCTCCATTGGTGTCCTTGCAAAAATGGAGAACTAGTTTATTGCTTCGTCACAGAAACCTGGGATTGAGAATGTTGCAGTTCAATGATTTGAGCCTGCATCCTATCATCCCAGACATTTTTTGTATCTTGTGTGCCATTACTTATCTGCCCACCTTCATTATCTTTAACAGTGTTCCGAGTAATATTCAGAAGAGTGTTCAACACTAATGTTTTTATAAGCAGAAAAATAAAATTAAATAGTTTTCAAGAACTATTTTATATTGTTCATTTAATTTCAATTCCCCTGATCATTCACCACATTTTCAAGTTTGTTGCAAGGTACCAGTTAAATAACTAAATTTCTAAGTGGTCAATGTCAATAAACCTCCATCCTCTATGGCAGAGCACATTTATTGGGTAGATTTTAAATAAAATTATCGCCACGCATGATCTATAAAGGACAAGAGGTCTACTCTACCAGATTCATTCTCAGGCAATGAAAGATAGAATCTACTCCATGATGTTTGCATAACAAGATGAAAAAGTCAACAGCCAATTTCCTCTTTTCAGCTCTGTTTTGTGACTATTACAATCCTGACGATGAGTGTGAATGGCACTATGCACCTTGTGGCATTCCCTGTTTGAAAACTTGCCGAAATCCTGGTGGAGCGTGCTCCAAGATTATCCCCAAACTTGAAGGTATTTTTCCTATTTGTTTATTAATGTGGTGTTGATAATGAACAAAGTCCATTTTACACAAACATTTTTATTCACAATTAGTTGGGAAGTGGATAAACAGATTATAGAGTTCATGACAGATATTAATCATCGAAAAATGGACCATTTTACTCTCCCCTAAACAATTCATTAAAATAATGGCTAATTGACTGGAAGTTCATTCTTTTAGCCCAAGTATCTTTGAAAACCAGTTTAATATTGCCATAGAGCAATTGATCTACAGCTTGCCATTGCGTCGACTGCAATGTTGCTAAAACCCATGATGAACATCACCCAGAAGGGCAAAGATAGCAGGTGAACAGGAAGGCCATCACTTCAAGGTGGATTTTAAAGTCACACACCATTCTGAATTCTATACATATTGTCGTAGAGTTATATAATACAGAAACAGACCCTTCAGTACAACTCATCCGCGCTGATCAGACATCCTAAATTGATCTAGTCCCATTTGCTAGCATTTGGCCCATATCCCTCTAAACCTTCCTATTCATCTACCCATCCAGGAGCCTTTTAAATGTTGTAATTATTCCCATTTCCACCACTTCCTCTGGCAGCTTGTTCCATATATGCACCACCCTCTGCATGAAAAAGTTGCCACTCAGGTCCCTTTTGAATCTTGCCCTTCTCACCGTAAACCTATGCCCTTTAGTTTTGGGCTCCCATACCCACCCTATCCATGCCCCTCATGATTTTATAAACCTCTGTTATGGCATTTTTTCCATTGTGATTGGATAAGTCCCTGGAGCTCACAAATAACAACATTTCCGGTGATTTCCAACTTCAGAGAATAACTTTTCAGAATACAGAAACTACAAGGCAAGTTCCGTTGACGCTAAACAGAAATTGCACTGCAGATTACATGACCCATTAACAGAAACAACATAGCACATAAAACTAGCAATTAACAGATATCACACAGCACAATACACAAATAATTAACAGATTGCACTGCAGGTTAGACTGCCAATTAACAGAAATCGCACAGCAGAAATGAATAGAAATCGCACAGCAGATTACACCAATAATTAACAGAAACTAGGCAGCAGATTACGCCAACAATTAGTAAAAATTGCTCTGCGGATTACAACAGTGATTAACAGAAATGACACAGCAGATTACACAATAATGAACAGAAATTTGATGGCAGACTACACCAAGAATTAATAGAAATTACACTGCAGATGACAGCAATTAACAAACTACACACCTGGTTACTGCAACAATGAATAGAAAGTGCACAGCAGATTACACCAACAATTGAAAGAAACTAGGCAGAACATTACAACAATAATTAACAGAAACTTCATAGCAGATTATACCAACAATTAACTGAAATTATACCACCGATTACATTAATAATTAACAGAAACTAAACAGCAGACTGCACTAACAATTGGTGGAATTTACTTTGCAGATTACAACAACAATTAACAGAAAGTACACAGCATAGTACAGGAACAGTTAACAGAAACTACAGAGCAGTGGAGATATTTTTAATGTAACCTTTACAGACACATTATAACACATGTTTGGGGCAAGTGGGACTTGAACTGAGATCTTCTGGCCTGCGGTAGGGACACCACCACTAGACCACAAGAGCCCTTTACTCAGTAGTGTATGCTGACTATTTATCAAGGTTAGCAATATGATATCGATTGAACCTTTAGATACAGCTAAATTACTCTTTGATTCAAAGTGTATAAATCTGGTGGGGAGAAACTAAATTTGAGTTGCTAACCCATTAAAACATTACTACTATGACGAGTGAAGAACGATGTAACTGTATTGTCACCTTACCTAGGCTGCTACCCAGACTGTCCTGATGATAAGCCATTTTTGGATGAGGACAGAATGAAATGTGTTGATTTGGACCACTGTCCCTGCTATGTTAATGGGAACCACTATGAGCCAGGCCATATTGTGCCAAGCACTCAGAACTGTGAATCATGGTAAGTTTTACCATAAGCATTTCCGCATGTATTATCAATGTGACAACGAGAAAAGTTTTCAGTTTTTGAGGAGTGGAGGAAAGTGCTTACCTTGTTCTTAATGACAGAAACTGATGCTGGGTGATGAGGAACATTCCTCATTTAGAACCCAGTTTCATCTGGAATCAGCACATCTTGGGGCGGCATGGTGGCTCAGTGGTTAGCAGTACTGTCTAACAGACCCAGGTTTGATTCCAGCCTTGGGCGACCATGTGTGTGGAGTTTGCACATGCTCCTCATGTCTGTGAATAAGCCAGGCGCCTTGGTTTTCTCCCACAGTCTAAAGATGTGCAGGTTAGGTGGACTGATCATGCTAAATTGTTCGTAGTGTCCAGGGATGAGCAAACTAGGTGAATCAGCCATGGGAAATGCAGGGTTATAGGGATAGGTTAGGAGGGTGTGTTTGGGTGCTCTTTAGAGGGTCAGTATGGACTTGATAGGCCGAATGGCCCGAATCCACACTGCAGGGATTCTATGCATTAGAGACGGAGCAAATCTTCATGCATCTCACCCAATGTATCATGTCATGTGACTGCTTGGTATATTTTTAGTCTTAGGTGAAGCTGTTTGGAATATCTATTATGCTATTTAAATGCCTATTCTTATCAACAGTCTGTCAGGATTTTCAGCTGTGTTGGGAGAAATTCCTGAAAATGTGATCATGTCACATGCTCACCACATGTGATCAAATGATGTCAGTAAGTCTCAGTCTCTTGTAGCTGACTTTGTTGCCTTTTTTGTGCCAACATCTGTTACATTGAAAATCTGGAGAAACAGGAACCTACTTCTGTGAAGTGAGGGTGGGCAAAAAGATAAAGCAAAAGTGGGGGGAAATGGACCAGGTAGAGAAAATTCACTGCAATGTCAGCATGAAATAACAGCTGTGCTGGTAACACTGAGAATCCCTTCATAACCACCAGATAATAGTTCATTGATAATCCATATTCACAATTGAGCTTATGTTCCCTAGAATGTAGACAGTTAAGGAGTTTTAGGAGGTATTTTGATTGAGGTTTATAAGATAAAGCTTGTGTTTTCAAATAAACCTGTTGGACTGTAACTTGGTGGCATGTGTTTTCTAACCTTCAAGATATTAAGGGGAAGAATGAAGGAGATGGAGGAGAACCATTTCTGCTGATTGGGGAGTTTAGGACTAGGAGGCATAATGAAAACTGAAATTACAAAATAATTGTACACAATAATGGTGGCCTAATTTGGATCTTCCTTTCATAAAAGACAACCGGTGCTAGGTCAACTGCCAATTTAAATCTGAGATTATTAGCTTTTTATTAAGCAAAATTATTATGGAACTTGGAGTCAGGTCACAGGTTAACCATGATTTCATTGAATGATTTAACAGGCTTGATGAGCTAAACAGGAAATATCTCTATTCTATGTGCCTGTATAATTGCAAGTTATATATCCAACCTATAACTAACAGCATTCCTATCTATCACTAATGGTAGTAATGTTACATTCACTCTGGGGCTACATTTTATCCATTGTAGTCCGCAGTTATGGAAGATGATGACAGAGGTACCAATGTTCTTTCCATCAAATGACCGCCAAACAACCTCTGTCTCTCTTAATGCCTGTCATTAGGTTCTGTTGAGAGGATTTGCAAGGGGATACTCTACTTGTTTGGGTACATTATGAATGCACCTTCCTTGGAAATCCATTATTGAGGTGGGAATCAAACCTGGAGCTTGTGACTCAGAGGCAGGGATGCTACCCTCCATATAACAAGACCTCCCAAAATGTCAGTGGTTATCCTGAAGCAAGACCTTGTGTAGTCACACTTACCAGTCAAGTTTCTTTCATTAATCTCTCCTTGTAATTTTGGACTCTGGTTTGTACCCAGGTTCATTGCATTGCTGCTGCAACTACAAGCTCTGTAGTTTGATGATCTCCAAGTATGCCATATTCACCAGTCTCCCTTTCGTCCCCTGCCTTTTTCAACCACAATTCTTCTTGAATTCGACCCCAACCTTCCCATCTCCTAATTCCTATACTGCAGTCTCCATATCTCCTTGATGCCTTCCAGCATCCCCAAGTGTGATTCCTCTAGGCTGTCTCTTTCTTGTGAGCCCCTATTAGTGGTTAGCACTGCTGCCTCACAGCACCAGGAACCCAGGTTCAATTCCACCCTCGGGCGACTGTCTGTGTGGAGATTGTACATTCTCCCTGTGTCTGTGTGGGTTTCCTCCGGGTGCTCCGGTTTCCGCCCACAGTCCAAAGATGTGCAGGTTAGGTGGATTGGCTATACAAAATTACGCGTGGTGTCTAGGGATCTGCAGACTAGGTGGATTAACCATGGGAAATGCAAGGTTACAAAGATAGGATAGTGGAGGTGGATCCAGGTGCAGTCCTCTGCGGAGGGTTGGTGTGGACTCAATGGGTCAAATGTCCTGCTACCACAGTGTAGGGATATTATGAACTTCTTCAGTTTTTCCTCTCTCCTAAGGCTCATCGCCATAAATCCTTTCTGTCACCCCCACCTTTCATTACTGTCATCCAAACTCCAAATCCCATTCCCACGCTTATGCGTGTCCCCCAATATATTGCTATTCTCCTTCTCAACAAGCTTCTCCACCCTGCAACCTTCATTTCTAAATCTTCCTCTCTTTTTCAGGGCATCTGTCCTGACTCCCATATCCTTGACCCCTGACACAACGCACATTCCCCAACCTCCCTTGTTCCACTGAGCACCCAATTCCCAGTCTCCCTCTCACCCTCTCTCATCTCTTGGCTATCAACTGCTGACTGGCCCTGATGTCCCATTGGTCTATGTTCTCTGGAGTGGTAGGATGTGCATTTGTCCTGAC